GACACCGAAAGTTCACGTTCCAGCGATGAAATCGAATCTGAAAATTCTGAAACTGACTGTGGTCCCTGTTTTGTTTAACCCACTTTGAAATAGTTTCTAATGCAAAATTAAACACCCGTCCATTTTAAACATATTCATATTTATATATTACCTCTGGTGGCTACATATAAACTGGTCCCCGTTTCCAATCTCATGATAACAGACAAGAATTGAAAACTGAACATCTCGTTTTTGAAAGCAACATGAAGGCAAAACCATCTGATCGGCCAGGTGATTGACCAATGCCGACGTTTTGCTGAAAACTAGCTTTCTGACTCTGAACATGCAGACCGCTGCGCAAAACAAGAAAGTCTTCAGAAACTCTGCCAACTTTTTCCTTTGAAGAAGGTCTGTGGGACATGGCTATAAATTCAATCATCCAATTGACCATAAAGTTTGTGATGTGCAATAATACACAGTGTTTATGGTATTTATGGTATACACAGCTAATACACGGAATCAGGGTTCACTCGCACGTATAGCATAAGTATCAAGAGAAGGATGCCCTAAAGGATGCCCTACTATCGACCTAGCCGGCCAGAATAAACAGAAGCCTCCATCACACCAACGAGACAAACATAAATCTATTCCCATAATATATATATTCTCTGAATAGCGAAAAAGATTCACAGTTACATTTGTCTACAGTAAGGGTATCCGAAAGGATATTTAACTATCAGTTACTTTAAGGTAATGAAATATTTATCTGTTGAGCACTGTTTCCACATACTTAAAGGTGAAATGCAAAAATGTACAGTAATTATGTCTTTTAATGTCTTCTTCCGGACAGCTGTTATATTAACATTTATGTACTTCGTTACAATGTTAGCTTCCATCTCGAAGCACCTTGATCATTGCTAAACGCTACTACAGTTGCGTAGCAGTCCAAAAAATGCAAGGCAGCAGATAGGCGATAGCAAAATCCTCATAACAGAATACTCTAACAATCAGCGGCATTCTATCATAGCTTGCGGAGAAAGTGCGCTAGTCATCGCCTTCTGATTTGGTTTCCAACTCACGCACAAGTCAGTCCCAGCCTCAGTGATGAGGAACAAGATTTGATCGATCCAACAAGTAGCCTGATGAAAGACAAAAACTAATAAGAATAATTAGAAACCTAGTTATGGAAGCTAAAGCGATTTTGAAAGTGTCCAAAGACCTTCAAATCATGGGGTTGACCTGAATTATTATCATGGTTAAAAACAGGTCAAGAAAATGATCACAGGCACTTTTGGTGGACAGTGAAAATCATGGAAAGATCAAATTAAGGCAGCATGGCCTTGAAAACTCTTCAGATTTAAACGGTTTTGCTGGCATAAACTGTCGTGTAGGAAATCCAAAAAGCTTTGCTCGTTCGTCAGAACTGCCAAGTGCACATCAGCGGGTTCTACATCAGTCACCAAAGTCATCGGACAGAGTCGGTTGTTGACGAAAAGGATTTAATTGAAGGTTGATCTTCCGTGAAATTGCCGCTGTTTAGAAAGTTGAACGGCCGAAGCTTTGCCGATTCGTTCACAATGCTTAGTTGCACACTACAGAACTTCGGAAACTCAAAAAACTTTAAACACATGCTCATAAATATGAAATAATAATGGCACAAGGTTGGAGGCAAACGACAGGTGGACACAAACGTTAACGGTGAATCATACCATGGACATAAGGAGACGAGTAGTCGTCGTTAACCGCACTAGGTTAGAAACTCAATACTCTGAGGAAAATGTGAACTCTGCTATTCTATGAATTTCTTGTAATAGTCTCCACCTGGCAAACGCTTCTTTCGTTGCAAATTTTCCTGATTTTTTCCACTTCCATTTTCGTTGGAAGAGAGATCACGTGGTTTTCAAACCTCATTTTAAACCCACAGGGCATGCAGCACTTCTCTATTTTCAGTATTTGTTAAGGCTCTTCAGGAATTTCAGGAAGACTGTTCTCCCTGCTTTTAGCACCAGGATTTCTGCAACGTACAGCAAACTGTTTACCAGATATTAGTTAGATCAAGCCGCCTAAAGACGGATCAAGCACGATCCAAAACGTTGGAGAAATTACTCATAATAAGTTTTATATTCAGCGTAATGCCGTAAAGTACTTGTAGAGTATTGAGCTAAATTTCCGCCTGAAAGAATCCATCTCCGTGTTTAAAGATATATATAGATAAAGTAAGAGATAACACACGAGAATTTATGAGGATATGGAAAAGGTTGGACCTACTAGTTTTCTGTGCAGTTCGTCAATGGATGAATGGGTGAATGGGTGCCTCCTGGAAACGTAGAAATAAAACTGTCAGCGATTGCGGTTTATGTAATGAAGAGCAGAAAGTTTGTAACTCGTTCGTGTCGACTTTCCTCACTGATTATTCGATATGTCGTATATATATCTACCGTATGGCTTCCTTCAGGCATTCTGAAACACTCTACAAGAAAATGATAAGAAGGGAGTAATTGTATGGATCTGGATCGATATTCGTTGGGTCGACAGTTATGCGCTCAACAAACGGAGCTTATCCAAATGAATAACGAAGATCCTACAGAAATTGAAAGATGAAATGAACAACGTCGGTAAGAATGGTTCGAGAAGACCAATCCAGCTGACAGCTGAACTTACTTTAAAGTGCCTTGAACATGTATTTAAAATTTCAGAAATAAGGCACTCCATCATAACCTCCACCATAGGATTCACAATAAACCTAGAATTTCGATCTTTCTCTGAAATGTTCCCTGACGCGACGGAAGAGTTTGTGCAGGCCAGTGACTTTAAGGTGTGATATCGAAATTTGCTCATGATCGGGTTTAAGGGTCCCTGTACCAGAGAGCCTGAAGGGCTAAAGCCAGACCACGAAATTCCATCCATTCATAACTGCGGCTTCATGCTTGCTGTTCGTAGGTGGCAGCTAAACAGGTTTTCATGTCACCCTATCAATGAACCAGGTACCCAAAGGGTCCCCTGCTGAGGCAGTGCAACGCTCAAGAAACCGCAAACAACAACACACAGCTTGTGCCCTACACGACTGGGGGGGGGGAGCGCGACGGCATGCAGTCAGGCCAACAATCATAAACTATTTTAGATCATTACGCTT